TTGGTGTGCCGGGGATTCGAACCCGCGACCCTCAGATTGCGAGTCGAGTGCCTTAACCACCTGGCCATGCCGGGGCCCATTTGGGCGACAAACGGCTAGATCAGCTAGTTTGGGTTGGGGTTATCAATGAAAAAAAAAGCAATTATGTGAATGTTAAAGGAATATCTCAGTCCAGATGGATCTGGAAATAAAGAGAAAGACAAGAATTCGAACCACTCACCTCTGCAGGCCTCCTTGAAGTCCTCACAACAGTCTCCAACCTTTAGGCATGCGTGGTCACAGTAGCAAGGCCGATCGGTGAGGTCCTCTATGATAGAATTGACTGGAGCCTTTTGGACGACACAGGAACTGTCCCGACCTGGACAACAAAGGTTGGCCTTACGACATGAACCATTTGCGCACACTGGTACGATGACCAGGAAGGCCGTTAGGAGAAGTCCGAAGACCTGTTCTTTGATGACCATTGTGGGTCAGGCCTGTGTATACTGGCTGTGCCTGCGACAACGCCGAAACTTGGAGAGCAAGTGAGTGGCTTGTCCTGTAGCACGTGCGTTTTGAACTTTCCCTCTCGGCATTTCCTAGAGAAATAGTCTGCGTCGCTCCATCTGGCGGAGAAAGATATCAACAAATAGGGCATAAGATTACTACATCACACGTAAGTATTGTTTGCGAGTCAAAGCGACTTGCGCGTTTGTATATCGTCGTTCTCGACCTACTTAATTTGTTTTTGCCGAAGCCGTGCATGGTACATCTATTAACTATTAGTTGCCGCTAGTTGATTTATTATTCTAGAACGAGAACGAAACGGGCTCAATTCTGCTATTTTTAAACACCTCTTTAAATAATTCCAAATTCCTCATTTATTAAACCTAGAATATGAAACAACATTTCGCGCGCGCCCAATTAACCAAAGAGCAGAGTTAGTAGTTGATAATAAGCCTTTGGTGATTATAAACTTTTAACTATCATTCTCAATTAATTGTTTAGGTTGGAAACTGTAGTATTTTATATGTATTATATTTGACAAAGTTTGTTTTGATAGGTGAAAATTCAATGGTTTAGTTGTTGTTTTTGTTCGTAAGCACAAAGCTATACAATTGGTTATCTGTGCTGTGCCCACCATGAGTATTGAAACCCAGTTTGTAGTGTTATAAGCCCTCCGACTTACCACTGCTCTCCACTGGGTAATTCTGTCATGGCGTTCTCTGTAATTTTTTCCGTAAGTCTAAAGGCTTATAATGCTAAAAACAAAGGTTTGATACCCGCGGTGGGCAGAGCACAAGTAATTCATTGTGTAACTTTGCGTTTAGCAACAAACAAATAAACCGTCCCGTACAGACAGTTTTGAGATAAATGCCCTTTTCTGCCGCACGCGGTACACCTACCTACAAACAGGTAGTGAATAAATGTGCGCATAACCAAGATGGCTACCAAAACTCAATATTTTAATATGACGATCAAAGTTTGAGACGTAACGTATTTACGCTGGACTCTTGACAGTCACAATTTCCTGAATAAAACTTTCAGTAACTTAAAATGCCAGCGCTGAGACCTTTGTCACTTGTTTCAAATTTCACTTAGTGAATCTCTGTGAATTTTTTTATTTTATATGCAAATCAACTAATGGAAACGGCACCGTAACGCATGACATGCAGGAGATATTATATCACAACGAATGTTAAATTATCTTTGATGTATCAGACTAGTTAAGAAATTCGGTGCGTCTACAGTAGTTGTTGGATAACTCCAGTACTTGTACGAGGTTTTGAAATAGAGAATAGTATATCTAGATATTCTAATATGTGTAAAACATGACAACTTAATTTGTGGCTCACTTGTACACTTCGTATTTATAACATATATTATTCATATGGAGAGAAAAATTGTCCCGAGGTTTCGTGAGAACTGAAAGTGGCTGCCAGTACTATCACAGAAGGGCCCGGCATGGCCAGGTGATTGGGGCACTCGACTTGCAATCTGAGGGTCGCGGGGTCGAATTTTTGTCCCACCAAACATGCTCGCCCTTTCAGCTGTGGGGGCGTTATAATGTGACGGTCAATCCCACTATTCGTTGGCAAAAGAGTAGCCCAAGATTTGGCGGTGGGTGGTGATGACTAGCCGCTTTCCC